TATATAGTTTTGTTTTTGTTTTACAAATTACCAGTTAGATAAGTAAATGCAAGATTTCTTTTGAAATAAAGCAAGCAAAATTGCAGCAGAACTTGACAGGTAGTGATCAACCTGCATTTTCATTGTATGGAAATGATTTGACATTTTGATAATGATCCTTTTGTGTTCCACCAGAAAAAAGGGCATATGAGCTTGGAGCAATATGAGGGTGGGTAGATGATGTCAGATTCTATTCAGTTGGATTGACCACATTTAGATTGCTGCAGCAATTTAGACAAACATTTTGCTTCTTAATTATCAATGAACCAAATAATGTTTTTGGATGTTTAATTGTACATGTTCATTTCCCATTACTTTTACTATCATCTAACGCTCACTTAAACACCAATAAATTAATAACACTGTTAAATGTAATCTTTAGCAAATCTCGAAATCTCAATATTGTTGAGACCAAATTCACTTTTAGCATTTATTTATTCATTTATTCATTCACATTCATTCATCTAGTATAGATGTTTTATTTAGATAATTTAATATCAGCCATTTACCAATAATTGTTCATAATTATTTTTTAAGGTTATTATCATCTTTTGGGTGTCACGATTTATTATGCAGCTTTTGAAATATTTCAGATTCTGCACTAATTCTTAGTCACTTATCAATCAATTTGTGACATTTGAGTAGGTGAACTTGAGTAGGTTAAAACAGCTAGATGTTCTTGAATTGAACAAATTTAACCTTATTCGGATGGTAATTGTTTCTGATGGGGACATCTGTACAAATACATTTACATAGTTCCTCAGTGATAAAACTCATGCGATTGAATGATGATTTACTCACTGTGGATGAGTGAGTTCTGTGATCCTACAAACCTGCAAGTTCAACATGACAATAAATTTAATAATAGGAAATGAATATTCAATTAATTTTTTATTCATTCATTTAAATGTCATTTTTAATAATAGGAAAATTTATGCACTATGGTTTAATGTCTTTCTTGCATTGTATCTCTCAAAATGATTGATGTAATTTTAAAAATGTGGAAACTAGCAGAAACGAGTTATGCAGCCTCTTATATATAGAAGGCAAACATTTGACTACTACTTTGACTTCTAGTAAAATGGTTAGTCGTGTGAGCCCTAATTTATATGAATACTAACTTGTATAACTTATTAGATGAAGGTCAACATAGGAAGAGCAAGATGAAGAAACAGAAGAGTAATGGCATGTGGAAAACTCACAGAGAACTGGCATCTAGTAGAAAGAAAGGAAGAGAGGAAAACAGGAGTGGTAAAACAGGAGCCTGAAGTTGAGAGGGAATTGTTAATACAACCATTAAAATGTGCAGAACACTGGGGAGGAAGGAAACGGCAGTATAACAATGAGGAGAACGAGACGAACAAGCAAGAATACAGACTCTGTAGGGACACAGAAAGGCAAGAATGAAGGAAGGAGATATGACAGTGGCTTTATGGAGGATAACCTCAAATTCACTCAGGGACATTTGCAGTTAAAGAGAACACGTATTCAAGAGAAACCTCAAGGAAAACCGAGATTGGCCATTTTATGGTGTAATTGCTGTTTTTCCCAGAGTATGTGCACTTATAGCTCAGCAAGGACATTTTTGTTCCTGTTCTCTGTGACTCACTACCTCAAGTAATATGACAGTCTGTCTATATACTTCAGACTTCTCTCGCTGTTTTCCTCTGCCTTTTAATAACATCACATCATGGGTGCTGGGCCTCATTGTCAGCAGGAGCAGAAGTCCTCAGTCTAATTCAAACCTGAAATAAACACATTCTGATGTAAAATAAATAAGAACTCTTTAAGTATGCACAGTATATATCATTAAAATATTGGTTATCTGTCGATATATTTTTTTCTGGCAGATATCAGACATATAATTTTCCATGCTCATTTGTCAAATTTTTACACGTAGATTACCTTTGCCATCATCTAACACTGAAGTTCATGTTTTAAAACACTATAATAAAAAAAAAAAAAGTTAAATGAAAGTCCATGCTGTACATTAGAATGTTGTGATGCTTAAATTAACTTATAGCATTTAAAATGATTGATTTTTTAGTGTTTTTAATGATTTTTTAAATCTGCATAACATGAAAGTAAACATCAGCTTAGTGATATCATCAAATTTATTTGTATAGCCCTTTTCACAATAGTTTCAAAGCAGTTTTACAGAAAATCACGAGGTAAATGTTTGTAATATCTTAATATATTTATGCTTTATAGTCGCTTTTAGCAGATTAGAACTGGGCGATGATATAGTTTACATTTTGCGAAAATACAAGCAATCAAGCAGTTGAGGTTTGCTCTGTAGTACAGTATATATCACCATACGGGAGTATGCTATATGTATTGTAACGGGGTGAAGAATCACACGACAAGTAATCTCAATCAATACCCCGGAGGGTGGATTTATTGGGGTGATGGGTGTTAGTGAGAAAGGTCCAGGTAGGTGCTCCGGTGCAGTGAGTGCTCTCTTCCGTCTTCCCAGTGCAGAGGGTCCGTGCAGTGCTCCTGTGGGGCTGGTCGGTCACACGCTGCTTTCTGTGGGAAAAATGAGAGGGCGAGTTAGTGCTCAGTCTCATGGAGGAATCTCCTAGATGGCAGGGCTTGCGTGGCTTATGTAGCCGCCGCCTGATGAGGTGCAGCTGTGACCGATCAGCCTGTGATGATGATGGCCAGGTGCTCCTCGCTTGTTTCCAGGGCGACGCTGATGAAGCTTCGGGACGCTTGCCACAGTATACTTTGCATAACGTCCTTAAAGTGGTCATATGATGCGATTTAAATTTTTCCTTTCTCTTTGGAGTGATACAAGCTCTTGGTGCATAAAGAAGATCTGTAAAGTTGCAAAGACTAAAGTCTCAAATCCAAAGAGATATTCTTTATACAAGTTAAAAGAGTCAACCACGCCTACCTAAAACGCCTCGTTTAAACACGGCCCCACATGTCTACGTTACGATGTGGGAAGATTTGCATAATGCCGCCCAAATGTTCACGCAAAGAAAGAAGGCGTAACTTTTATTCTCGCTGTAGTATTGTTGCTGCCGCCATGTCGTGAAGACGCTGTTTCTCGTTGTGAAAGCGAAACTACTTTGGCCTTCCAAAAGAGGTTGATATCCGCTTCGTCATGCCTGGAGCTGATCCGTGCTGGTCGCTGAGGAAATACATCAACTTCGCGCTGTGGATCGGCTTTCACCATGGACGAAGCACAGGGTCGTCACGTGTGGTTGCCGCAAGCCCTCTGAACGCTCCTTCATCGAATCCGCCAGCCGCGCTGTTCTCAAGTCCGCCGGCCACCGCTCACTCTAGGACGCTGTGTGTGACGCTGTGTTTCGTTGTGAAAGCGAAACTACTTTGTTTAGCCTTCCAAAAGAGGACACGACTAGAAATCAGTGGTTAAATTTTATTTACAACACTGTTCCAGAACACTTCAAACAAAAATATTCAGATGTGTGCAGCACATGGAGGACTGTTTCCTGATCCTGGTAGAGTAGACTACAATGCCGGCTGTTCTGACTCACAGACTGTAAGTATGTTTTTTTTATATTTAAAGAATTTGCCCCTGACGATTCAAACGCGAGTTTTGAGCAGTGTAGAGTAGCGCTTGTTGTTTGTCATTTCTCCAATCACAAATGCAGACATGGTTTTATGTTTACGTGGCGCGATGCAACTCGTAAAAAGACAGTATATGTAATTATGTCCCCACTGGATGCAACAAATGCCTCGTTTATAATGGG